TTCTTTCTTTCTTTCTTTCTTTCTTTCTTTCTTTCTTTCTTTCTTTCTTTCTTTCTTTCTTTTGCTGGCTCAGCCCACCCTGAAGCCTGAGCTGGCATGGTGGTGCCGGACATCGAACCATGGTCCCCTGCACCTGCCTAAGCTTGCCTAAGCAGGTGTTTTAGAGCCCTGAGCTATCTCACTGGCCCCATCCCCTATATATTTCTTATGAAGTAATTTTGTATTTTTTTCTGCTATGATGCCCAGGATATACTGAAACCCAGTTTCCCCTCTGAGTAATAAATCATTCGTTACTTTACCCATCTTAGACCTGTGAAAAAATTTAAAAACTAGGAAGATAAAAGCAAAGTGACAGCCTTCTCACAATACCTTTATCCAAATCCTCATACATTCATGAATTTGTTCATGAGCATTGCACTTTATGAATTTATTATATGTGGCAAAAAGGACATGCCATCAAGGTGGAAATAAAGGTAGCTGAGTGGCTGGGCTGGAGATGAGACTGTGCTTGATTATGTAGATAAGAGTAATGTAATCTCCAAGGTGTGCATAAGAGGAAGAGGGAGGCGGGAGAGAGTTAATGTCAGGGCAGTGTGACGTGAGTGACTACTGGCAACTTCTGGATTTGAAGAGGGAAAGGAGACTTAAATCAAAGAATGCCAGCAGTCCTGAAAGTCTGCAAAAGGCAACAAGACAGATGAGCCCCTCGAGCTGCCAGTAAGGAATGAAGCACTTGTTACACTCTGATTTTACTCAGTGAGACATTATTCAAATTTTCCATGTCTAAACCATAAGAAAATAATTTTTTATGCATTACCTCATTAAGTTGGTGGTAATTTGTTACAGCAGCATTAAGAAATTAATGTGTAGGTAACAGGAGACAGAAAATATACACAAAATAACATTGCACCTGGGCTGATCAAGAACAATGCAATCAGAACCTGACATATCATAAGCCTGTCATGCTGCTATTTACCTGTTTTCCACTAGAATTAGTTTTTGCCAAGTGTGACATAACTGATATCTAAAATGTCCTCCAAAAGTCTCATGTATTGAGAGGTGAGTTTTTATGATCACTGACCAGGTCTTGGAGGTTCTGTGAACTGGGCTCTGATTGGAGGCATAGGTCACAGGGGGTATGGCCTGGAAGGTTGTATCCCTGTCCTATATGCCTCCTGTCTCTTGCTTCCTGGCTGTCACAAGGTGAGCAGCCTTCTATCTTTCCATATGACTTTCCACCACACTGCTTCTCACCTGGATCCTGGCAGTCACAGACGAAAGTTCCACTGTGAGCCAAATTCAACTCTCCTTTTTTAATTTGTGGGTCTTGGGTGTTTTGTCTCAGTGACAGGAAAGCTGGCTAATAAATACATCTAGCATTTTACTTACCTGCCACCAAAAATGATATCTGTTCTGTAATAATGAATCTTTTCTGAGCTATAAATGTGTAAATGACTAGTTGACATTTCCTGCTGTCCAATGGAACCAAAGGATGAGAATGTCTGAATGAAGTTTGATATTATTTAGATCCATAGTTGGCTGCAATAAAATGAGACTAGGTAGGTGCTGAGAGACCAGGTTGAGATTAGGCCCTTGTGCTTGCCTGGGAAGCACTTATTCCACTAAGCCATCTCCCTGGCCCCTGTAGGCCTGAAAAAATACTACTCATTAAAACAAAGGATTCAGGAACATGTAAGGTTATACTAGAGGCTGAGAGCACCCCCAAGGGCCCCTCTCACATTATGAATCTGGCATACATTCTTTGTGACATATGAGACTATTAGGGTGTGGGGTCAACAGAGCCTAGGAATTTAGCTGCCTGTTGGTGCATGCCTCCTGGGGAGAAGGCGGCAGAGTCCATGAATTTTCTTTTTTTTTTTTTTTTTTTTTTTTTTGCATTTTTAGGGACGGGTCTACAGGGTGTTCAGGGTCTCACTACCAGATCAGACTCGTACTGATCTGCCTGTTCACAGCCTCCCAAAAGCTGGGATTACAGGTGCACACCACCACGCCTAGTCTGAGAGGGAAGCCTGACCACAGAGCTTAAACAATGAATGCTATGAATTTTCTTTTTCTTTTTTCTTTTCTCTTTCTTCTTTCTTTCTTTCTTTCTTTCTTTCTTTCTTTCTTTCTTTCTTTCTTTCTTTCTTCTTCTTTTTTTTTTGTACTTTTTAGGGAAGGGGACAGACTCCATGGAACTTAATCTCAAATGGGATTTGGAATTAATTCTACTAAGTGAAACATGCAAAGTTCTGCAACCCTCTGCAAGTTGGACTGCACAGCATGAAGGGGCTCAACAAGCAAGGCACCATCATGGCCCTTGCTTAGGACAAAGAGCTACAGGCTCTGGATTTATAGGTAAATTATGAAGAATCATGAAATCAATATCTAAATATATAACATACCTGATAGATTTAATGGTGAGTAAAAAATCTTTCAATAATGTATAAGCTTCCCCGGTATGTAACCTAAACAAGAAATAAAAATTTTGACAATTAATGGCACAAAATATTATTCACTGCACTAATGTAGTAGTTACACTATTCAGCATAGCAAGTCTGATTTTAAAACACAAAATGTTTTATATTTCTGAAGCATGTGAGATTTCAAATATATTTTAATTATGATTATTCAAAATACCATGTAAGTGTATACTGAATTACTTTCTTAGTGGCCCTTTATACATCTAAGTGTTCAATACCCAGGCAATTTCTACATTTTTAGGTAAGGCTAAGAGTGTTCACTCCAGTTTAACTTTTGAAAAATTTTTCTTGAATGTGATCATTGTGTATATCTGAATTGCACTAATAGGATCTGACTGAAGAAAAAAGAACATATAAAAGAAAAAAGAATGAAAGTAGTTTATCTGTCATAAAACTAAAGCAAATGTCATAGTCAGTCCTCACATGTACATATTACATTCTTTGTATATACTCTTATCAGATAACAAAGAGCATTGGAGTGTCATTATTTTCATTCATTAATGCATCCAATTAGCAAAAATTAATGCATCCAATTAGCAAAAATTAGACTGTATCTGTAAGTAGCTGAAAATATGTACATCTTTGAGTCACATCTTCGTGTAAAGGAAGCTGTTCTAAATACTAAGATTCTATAGGCAAGCCACAAACAAAAAGATCAGAATTTTCCCTTGTTTCTGGCCACTAGAAAAACAAAAAAGAAAATATGATGTGTTGATGTATTTAAAATGATTAACCTGTACAAAAAAATCTGTAAAAAGTTTTTCCTGTAAAATTCATTAAATTTATTAGAGAGGAGAGAGAGACAGAGAGAGACAGAGACAGAGACAGAAAGACAGAGACAGAGACAGAGACAGAGAGAGAGAGACAGAGAGACAGAGACAAAGACAAAGTCAGAGAAAGCATACCCATTATCCTGCGCTAATCCTTCCAAGGAACCATGTTTGTAGAAATCCAGTGCATAAGCATTGAGAGGCATTCTTCTCCCTTGACTATCAAACCTTTGTGGCCACAGTACGGGAGCTTGAGTATGGTCAATACCAAATGTCCGCAGAATGGTCTGAAGAAATACAATTGTTAATGTTATTTACATATAGAGAAAGTTTATATTTCTCACATTGTACTTTTTATTTCCTTACTTTAATTAATGTTTGTCAAACACACTGTTCATGGTAAAAGAAGGGGCATCTACCTCACACTCTGGGGTGCTGTTATCCCCTGCCAGAGCAGAGAAGAGCTCAGCACCACCTGTGAGCCTTGCTGCTTCCAGCTCATGCTGACAGCCAGTTCAACCACCTGGTCGCTAGACACAGCAAGACTACTGGGGAGAAAACCCATTTAAAGATTCACCGCTATACTTATTGATGCAGGGGACGCCTTTGCAAAGAGGGTACCCGGGAGCTGGAGACGGAGATGGCGCGTGAGAGGTCTTCTCCTGAGCAACTCTGATGCTCTTTAGGGCCCGTTTAGAAGAATGAAAAAAGGAGAGGAGGAAGGAGAGATAGTCAAGAAAACAAACATAGCTGTCCATGTCTGCTCATTTTTCCAAATTACATCTTGTTGGGTCAAGAGGAACTCTAGTACAGTAATGATGAGATTATAAACAGGCACAAGTACTTTCTGAAGTGAGTTAGTAGTGGCTTGAAAAGTTGAAATTTCTATTCTCTGATGACCTAGAAAATCTACTTTTAAACCAGAAAATGTATATTTTCCCTGCAACACAATGACCATGAGACATAGTAATCTGTATAACAAAATGGAAACAGGCCCAACATTTATTAACCAAGGACAGAGAAACAGGTTGTTCCCACTGTGGACAAATATGAAGTAACAAAATGTTTTTAAAAGATTTGCATCACAATGTTGATAATCTTAATGAACTCTTGAATGCAACTAGAAACCCACTTTAAGACACTACAGCAAGTATCCCTTAAATTATTTTTGTAAGGGCTAGAAAGATAGTTCAGTAGAATAAGCACCTGCTTGACAAGTGCAAAGCCCTGAGTTCAATCCCCGGTACTACAAAAAAAAAAAAAAAAGTTGCAGAATTATTTTTGTAAAAGTACAAAAAACCAAGATATGTTAAAAGTAGTTTCCTAGGCTCCACCAAAAAAAAAGTAGTTTCATAATGCAAAAGTTTTAAAAAGTAGAATGAAAACTGAGGCACAGAAAATTTGGAGAAGTAGGAAGAAGATGAACAAGGAAATAAAATAAAGGACCAGCACATCAACCTTCACTTCTTGGAGTGTACATACAGTTATTTTCCTTTTAGTGTCTCTACAGAGCATCTAAAACTGTAAGTTTCTTGGGGCCCGGGGAGATAGCTCAGTGGCATAAGTGCTTGCCTGGCAAGCACATGGTCCTGAGTTAGATCTCTGGTACCACAAAATAAAATAAAACAAAACTGTAAGCATTCTTGTTCAGTATTATATTAAACTATAATGAAAATATAGTCAGGTGAATTTTTTAAAAATTATGATTTATACTGGTCAATTTGTATAAAGTGAGTTGAGTTTCTACGAAGCAGTACTCGATGCTTGAGATGCTTCCAAACAGATGAAATAAAAGGTAGTCCTTTCCATAGCGCTCAATGCGTCACAGTAGTGTCTGGACGCCTTCACACCCTGTACTCCAGACATCCCTCCTATCTGACGGTGACTGTGTGGCAATGTAAGAAAAAATCGATCTAATTATAACTGCACCAATGCCCTTTCAAAACCCCATGGAAAAGCTTGCATTATGGAAAGAAATCAAAAAGCAAATGTCAAATACTTTCCACAAATTGATAAATTGTATAAAAATAGAAAGGCAGAGGGAGACCCAATGCTGCAGCAAAGGGGAGGCACCTTTCACACCACGGTCAGTCAGGGTGTGGCTAAAGGAGGCAACCGAGCTGCCAGCCCCAGGAAGGTATGCTGCAAGGGATGCAGGCACAGAAAACAGGAAGCCCAGAATAAGAAGCAAATAAGAAGACTCAGTGCAAAAATGGGCAGCTGAGATGAATACACACCTCTCTAATGAAGAAATACAAGCAGCAAATAAATAGAGGGGAAAATGTTTGACATCACTGTTCACTTGAAAAATGCAAATTAAAACAACACTGAGATTTTATCTCACCCCAGAAAGAATGGCTATTATCAAGAAATCAACTAGTAACAAATACTGAAGGGTCTGTGGGGAAAGACCCTACCCCACAGTCTACACTCCCACCAACAGTGGAAAAGCTTGCATATGGAAAGAACTGCAGTACTGTATGTACTGTCGAAATCAGTGTGGAGATTCCTCAAAAACACTAGAATTGGAGGTCCCATTTGGCCCAGCTATTCCCCTTTCTGGGTATCTTCCTCGAAGAATTATAAACATCATACCACAGTGATGCATGTGCACCCATATTTATAGTAGCACAATTTCTAATTGCTAGGTCTTAGAAATGATCCAAATGTCCATCAACTGAGGAATGGATAAAAAATATGTGATTGTTTTATGCAGTGGAGTACTACTTTGCCACAAAGAAAGATAAACTGGAGAGTTATGGCTGCAACTTGGGACCATATTCATAAGTGAAATAAAGTAATTACGCATGTGTAAATATTGTATTGTCTCCCTAGTGTGAGAAGCTGAATAAGTAAATAAGATCCAAAATGTATACTAGGTATTGTAAAATGGGAAGAAACTTGAACAGGAAAGAGAACTTAGGCCAGGGGAATGAAGAAAATCTCTAAAGAAAAAGTAAAAAGAAAAGAATAATTTATATATAAGACAGTTAAAATAGTAATACTGCTAATTTCTCTTAGTTCTTTGAAAAGGCAGGTGCGAATATTATTTGGACAATTAAATGCTGATATCTTTTTTTTTTTATTTTTTTTTTTTCAGAACCAGGGATTGAACTCAGGCCCTTGAGCTTGCCAGGGAAGAGCTTATTCCACTGAGCCATCTCCCCAGCCCCTAAATGCTGATATCTTGTACAGTAAGTAATTCAAAGAGAACAATACACAGTGTATTAACCATTGTTATGTTTCTATTGTTTCTATTATCTTGTTTTGAAGTTTATTTTTCCTTATACATTTTTACAAAAGAACTCAAAAATAGTTTGACTCCAAAAACAAATGATCCAAAAAAAAAAAAAATCATCAAATGAGATTAACAGATGCTTCTTAAAAGTAGAGAATAAATGGCTAATAAGTATGTGAAAAGAATATTTAATAGCTTTAGCTTTTAGGGAAATGCAAATCAAAACAACTCTGAGATTCTAACTTACAGTGGTAAGAATAGTTATGAAGGCCTCAAAAAAAAAGTGTTGGTGAAGTTGCAGGGAAAAAGAACATTTCTCCATTGTGGGTAGGACTGTAGACTAGTAGAGCCACTATGAAAATCAGTTGGGAGATTCTCCACCAAATTAAAAATAGAAATTCCATCCTACCCGGCATTCCTTCTATTAAACATTTCCATGAGGAATAAAGTCATCACACTTACAGCAATGCAACTCACGATAGCTAGACTAAGGAAAGAGCTTAGACACCCACCGAGCAAGCATTGAAAAGAAATGCAGTACTATTCAGCTACCAAAGAATGGTTTATTTGAGTCATTTGTAGGAAAATTTATGGTTTTTAAGACCATAAGCTTATGTGAAATAAGTCAGAGGAGGACTATCACATGACTTTCTCTTATTTAAATAATCTAAAAATATAAATAAGTTGAAAAGTAAAATGAAGAATATGGCAGGTAGCAAGGAGTTATCCTTTTGGAAATGGGAAGGTGGATCAGGCAAAGAAGGGGAAATGGAAATTATGTTGTTCAATATATAATGCCTGTTCTTTAACATAGCTAGCTACATACTTCATGTAGTAAGTTAGTTATTTGCACACATCCATGTAAACCATAGAAACAAAATTTTCTAAAATTATTACTCTCAAAGTATATAAACAAACTATAAAAAGTAAATCCATATTAACATGCTGAGCTGTAAAAGGCTCAAGTCAACAACTTCTGACATTGCCAGTCTTATGGATAACCCACTACTATTATGGACTACTGGACTATATTGGGATATTTTGCTGAATTCACACACCTATAATATTTAAATGGCAATGGAATACCTTTCTCTGACAAAACTAAACAAAAAAAAGTAGATACAAATGAAGGACCATTTTGTATCTGTATATTCAAAATAGTTAGGATAGATATACAGCTACATTCTCTTAATTCAATGAATAGAAAAATTTGTACTAATAGTATTTGTGGACAAGATATCATGTCTTCATCTTGTACTATGAATAACTACTAAGAAGACAACAATATGCAATGTACTAATTGTTGAAACTGTCATATTAATTGGTTTTGAAACTGTCTCATTGCTATTTGTTTCTCAATAAAATTATTTTAAAAATAAAGTAAAATTATTACTCTCAAGCTAACATGCACTCCTTTATAATTTATATGCCATGATTCAGAAGTCATCCACAGCCTTCTCTTACAAAGTGTGCCACAGAGGGAAAGCTACAAGATTTGTGCATGAACCCCATGCTGCACTTACATTACTTGAAATTTCGGGGTGAAGCAAAGCGTCATCAAAGTTCCCAGAGAGACAAGCAAACGGTGAGATTGCTGTTCTCCCTTCTTTGCAGCTCATCACGTGAGACACAAGCTGGGAGTCTTCACATTCTTCACCTGTGAATTCTGACCATGATCAATTGAGATAGATGAGTTGTAAAAGTCAGCTAGCTCGCCCAACCTCGTTACTTACTCGGACAGTGATCCTTTAAGAGCTTTCAATGATAACAAAGAGCTTGCTGTGGTGCGCACGCCAGAGGCTCACCACCGTGGACCTAGACCACGCTGAATGCAGCCATTCAAGGGAATCACAGCACCATGAAGACTGAGTGTGCCGCACCACAGAATGCAAGCAGCCCAGTTTAGGACAGGTGCATTCAATGAATGGAAGCTATATCCTCATCGCTACTTCACTACTATAAGTACATGTGTTGTATTTGATACCTTTTATCATTGAGAAGTACAATTTAAATTGCTTATATTTTAACAAATAATAACTGTTGTTTGCCACTTGGCCCCATGAATTATGAGTCTGTCTTAAAGTCCTTCTAGACAGAGTGTTCTAAGAGGTCACTATTAGTAGATCTGGAAAAGGCACATGAGAGACACGTTTTCTATTCATATGCTTTTAAGTGCTCTAGATTATAGATGCAAACTGGGCTCTAATTTTGTCTTTCTTTCTTTCTTTCTTTCTTTCTTTCTTTCTTTCTTTCTTTCTTTCTTTCCTTTCCTTTCCTTTCCTTTCCTTTCTTTCTTCTTCCTTCCTCTCTTTCTGTACCAGCAATTGAACTCAGAGCTTGCCAGGCAGGCTCTGTGCCACTGGACTATCTCCCCAGCCCCCGAGCTCTAATTTTCATTCAGACAGATTACTCACAGGTCCCACACACAACTCCCTTGTGAGTTCTACAAAGCTCCACCATTCCTGTCTGCTTTGGTTCATGCTGTTTCCTGCTTTCATAGGACATAGTAAACTAGCAGTTCAACCTCTTTGTTTTTTTCCCATTGAGGATGGCAGGGAATAGTGAATCCAGAATATTCCTACCCAAAGCAAAGTTTTCTTTACCTCTGTCAGTTCCACATATTTATTTCCATCCCCAAAGTATCCATTAATTGTTTTTAAAAATCAAACACTAATGATGTTGACAATTTGCCAAGTAACTGCTTTTAAATAGTCACATACAGTAGCTATTTAAAGCTCAATTATTTAAAATTTACCAAAGTCAAGTAGGTAATGTTATTCTGTTTCTCCTATATCTGTTGAGAAAACTAATGATGATTACCAGATCCAGGGAATCTCCCCACATTGTGTGCAGAACACTGAGCATAACTGCTCTCAAGAAAACAATGCCAGAATTAGACTTCAGTTTTTCTCAGTCTCACAGATGTCTTTACTCCATCTTCCAGGCTCAACTCAAAGACAGACTTCACTCAAGATGGTTTATAAACAACACATTTCGTTTCATTTTCCAATACCCATACCCATTTAACTTTCACTAATGAGGTTTTTTTTCTTTGAAAAGTGGAAGGAAACACCTTATTCAAAAACAGATTGACCCTTATTGGACTCCTGTCCACAGGAGGCAAAATATAAATCTTACTGAGAGAAAAAGATATATATTTTTTTCTCTCTTTTAAATACTGAGAACTGAACTCAAGTCTTCATGATAGGAAAGCCCTTTTCCCTTGAACTATAGCCCCAGCCCTGGGATAAAATAATCTTAGGAAATATTATTTATCGTGAAAATGTTCCACAATGGATCTGAAATATACTCACTGATTTGGGACAGTGGGAGTTTGTATTCCTGTTTCATATCAACCAATTTGGACACAATTAGTAAGAAAGAGGCAAAGTCCCTTGTCGTTTGCATGTTGTACTCATTCAGAGCAGCACCGAAATCCTCAGGAAGGTCATCAAGGAACACCTAGAAGTCAAATATTTTTAGAGAGATCTACAAACTTCATTAAAACTGACTCTTTGGGAAAAAAAGGTAAAGAACCTTGCAGTATAATTCTACAGTTATCTATTTATTCATTAAGACCACTGTTTCTTCATAGGTAGAAGTGAAGTACAATTATTTTTGTTTCTATCTTGATTTACAAAGACAAACGCTCTACTCCTTAACCTTAGAATTTTACCTTGAAACTACTTTATTAAAACCTTTTTTAAAAATTGAATCATAGCCTCAAGTTGAAATGAGAAGTGAAAACTTCACAAAATCTAGTGACAAATGTGGAAAGTATAGTACTGTCAATAAAGTTTTCAAAAAGATATCTTTTAAAAAAGATGAAGCACACTTGTATGCCTGGTGTAAACATCAATTGGTTTTAAGGATTTTAATTGACCTCAGCCAGATGTTCTTTCAAGAGTGAGCTCCCCATCTCTGCATTTGACCAAGAGAGTAAAGGTGGGAACACCTCAAGCAAGCAGTGAATTGCTATTGGTTTGTGCTTTTAATAAACCTCAGTCTGTGTGTACAACACTTCTCCTCCTAGGTCATGGCTGCTTGGGGATTTCTGAGTATCAAGCAGGTGTCTCTCAGTTTTCGTAGGCCTAAAATGCTCCTGAGCAGTCTTCTCTTTCCTATGGAGTTTCCTACCTATATTTCCATCTTTATTACCAAAATGATTTCAAAATTTTGAGTGAAATACAAGTCTATGCATAAGGGTGGACCCAGGCTCTTCTTTCTAGCAAGATTTTTTTGTTTAATAAATGCCACAATCCTTTGGAAATTATTTTCTCCTTTTCCAAACCTTTTCATGTAGCACCCCAATATTTCTTTAATACCTGCTACACAGTAAATTTTCCATGATGAAAACTCATGTACTTACAGTTTCTTAAGTGTCTCAGCTCTAATTCCAGGTTTGTATAATCACTAAGGAATGGATTAAGCATTTTTATTATCACTAGAGAGGCTCTGTACATATGTTTAATCCAATATTCTATGCCCAAGACTGAAAAGTTGTCTGAGACAAAAGCTGTTTGAAATTTTTATCATGCCTTGAAAACCTTTTTTGCCACTATACTATGTTAGCACATGCATTTCCTCACATTCACAGCTCTCTGTTACTGAAGCATTAGCAACCATCTAATAGACGTAACCTAGAAATAGACAGATTTCAATTAATGCTTAAGGAAAAAGAGAGAGCAGGTCTCTACTCAAAACTGTCTTTTATTATATTTACTTTTATGATGGCCCTCCTTTTAAGAATAGAAATGGTAGCTTTTCCCCTATAAATTGGATGTGAAATTATTTGAATAGAAAAATTAAATATTTCAAGAATGGAGATCTAATGAAAAAGTATGAAGGTGATAGGTCGAGGACTAAAGTTGTAAACACTGGTCTGGAGGACATTTGGGGGGTTAAATGGCACAGACTAACTCTTTTTGTTTTATTCCATAGCACCTCTTCACTAAGGTTATCTAGCAACCAACCTACCCTACTGTTTTAGTATCCAGTGAGCTGAGTCAGCAATGATCTTCAATGTTGATTAAATGATATTCAAATACAATGCTACAAATAAAATTAGGAACGAGTTTGGGCCTCGTGAATGAGGTATCACATTATGCATGGGATCCAATATGCCCCCTAAAAGGGTCACAGTATTGGAGACTTCTTTGGTGACCAGATTTGGGGGAGGTTGCTGGATCACCACAGTGCTGACTCATTACGGAGACCAATAATAAGATCATAATTTGACGGCACTATTGGGAGGTGACACAACCAGGAGGTGAAGCCTAGTAGAAGGAAGTGGAGCATGGGGCCATCATCTTGCTACCTTGGGAGCTCTTTTGGTCCCCATCCCTTCTTCTCAATTTTCTCCCTCTCCTTCTGGGCTGTCACTAGATGAACAGCTCTCTTCTGTAACGCAGTTTCACCCTGAGATGTCTTCTTCAGCACAGGTCTAACAGCAATAGATCCAGGTGACCAGGAGCTGAAACTTTGGAAGGCCTAGGCAAAAGTAAAACCTTTCTTCTCGAAAGTGCATTTCTAAAGTAATTTGCCAGTGATGCAAACCCAACTAACAGAGATGATTTCCTGGATGACTATTTTAATATTATCCTGGAGAAGTCATTAAGATCCACAACATACAGGTTTATCTCAGAGTAAGAACATAAAGGAAGTGTATATTCAATGCTAGGAGTAATTGTTTTGCTTAAATATATAATTCGCTACCTCTGTCAGTAGTCTGTTAATGCTTTAATTAGATGTAATGAAAGGAAAAATGAATAAGACTTTGATCCTAATTTTCCTCAAAGCATTGAACCCTTTAAAAGATTTACAGAAGAGGGATTTTGAATTATAGATTAAGTTGCACACTAATTATCAAAAGAACAAATTATTCAACAAAACTATCTTATATTTAAAAAAAAAATCAGAATCATATTCTTTACCTTTGATTGATGAAATTCTGTTTTCCTAAAGAACTTCGCTGGGATGTACCTTCTTCCAAAGAGATTTGCCAATACTAGCACTAACTTTTCCATAACATCTTGAGAAAAACGCTTTGAGTCTATACAAAACAAAATGTGTTATAAATGTGTTAAAACTATCTGTTCATGTTTTCACGCTTAAATGGAAAGTTTCGTTCCATTTCAGTTCACAGAAACCAAAGCATTGAGACAAAGATGGCGAACACGGCTTCCAACAGTTTTTATTCTTGCTTCGCTCTCCTTCGGATCTGAGATGCTCCAACCACGACTTTCCTTTACCTCCTTCATGCACATTTTCCCCATTTTATTCACTCATCATAGAGAATCTGACCTCCTACAGAATTTGTGACCATGTCTCAGTCCTACACTCAGAAATCTTTAATGATACCTAACTATATGCTCAGTAATATTTTCTGGAGTTCAGGATTTAAGGTTTTCTGAAATTCAGCCCATTCATAATTTCCCAGTCTTACTGTCCTGCCTCTCCTACTAACGCGTTATCAATTTGAGTTCTTGTCTTTCGCACAGCACAGAAGTATCCAATTGCAGGGTTTAAAAACAACATAAATGTCAAGCTATTAAAATAACCGGGGCTCTAGCATCAGACTACTAATATGTGAATCTTGGTTCTGAATTTTTAAAAGTACAAAGCCATGACAAATTATTTAATTTCTCTATGCTTCAGTTTCCACATTATGAAATAATGTTAAACAAATATCTCTCCTAAAGTTATCAATTTTTCCTCATTCTTACAAACATAAATATCCAGCCAATGCATATTAATACACAAAATGTTATTTCCTTTCTTGAAATTATTTGTTCTTTATATAGAGCTGTCATAGGAACAGAACTTCCTCAGTAACTCTGTGTCACAGAACGACGCATTTTTAGAGCATAGTGACTAACCCTACTATGCAGTAAAGTGTTCTTATTAATTGATAAAAGATAAAGTAAAGTTGTGAAGGTACTGAATTCACCAGCTATTAAGAAATATAGCAATTTTAAGCACAAATATTACAAAAGAGCACAATTTATTTTATGGAGGGTCTGCCCAATAGCTCAGCGAATTAAAGTGTCTGCAGGCAAGCACAGGGGCCAGGGGTTTGATCCCCGGGCCTGCTATGCCGGCCCCGCCCCTGGGGCGTGCTGGGACAGCAAGTGAGACTGGGAGAGGTGGGCGCGCCTGTGATCCCAGCTCTTGGGAGGCTGTAAACAGGTAGATCACTATGAGTCCAATCTAGTAGTGAGACCCTGAACACCCTGTAGCCTCTTCCCCCCCCCAAAAAAAAAAGAACAGAAAAAGAAAATGTGTAAGGGCTTTGTTGCTTAAATATAAAAATAAAAAACTTGGGCCAGCTGATAGCTCAGTGGACTAAAGCACCTGCTTAGGCAGAACACAGCGGCTGGGGTTTGATTCCTGGCATTCCATGCTGGCCCCATTGCCATTGTGCACTGTGTTGGGGACTGAGACCTGGTGTGGTGGCATGCCTATTATCCCAGTGCTTGGGAGGCTGTAAACAGGAGAGTCACTATGAGTCCGATCTATATAGTGAGACCCTTTAGACCCTGTAGACCCTGCCCTAAACACCGAAAAAACAAATAAATAAATAAAAAGCTTTTCCAAAAATTTGTGCTAAATGGAATTTACCTAAAAATCTACATATTATGAACAAAATACAATATGGTAAGGGGAGTAAAATTCTAGTTTACACAGTTAATTTAATATCAGCTATTTTAAAATAATATATAATTATATTCAAAGAAAATGTGAAAGAGAAAATATCAATAGTGATTATTGGCAGATAATGAGGTAATGCTCTTTTCATCCAGTAATGCACATATATTTCATTAGAAGACAATATTTCCTAAAAATTATATATTATTCACTATGTTCTGAACCCTGGAAGAAAGGCATAACTGAGATTAATACATCTGAGAAGCTGACATTGTAAAATACATGTCAAAAATATCACTATCTTCCATCTATATAAGTGGATACTTAACTTTATTTTACCTAAGTTGAGGATCTGTAATTATCTACATACTAACATTACTGAAAAACAATTTACCTTTCGAAGTTGGTTGGCAAAGATTATGGAAAAGGCCTCTTACAAGAAAATTAACAAAAACCAGATTAGAAGGTTCATGATAATGCAGATGTGTTACAAGCCCAGCAAACCCCATAGGATTTCCTTCTTGATCTAGATAGCCCTAAAAAAAAGTAATAATAATTTATCATTTTGATTCAATTACCACATAACTAATAAGTAGCTTATTAGCTAGCAGTTCTAAATAGTACTTAATATCAATGTAAAATAGATCGACAGCTATTACCTACTTTTGATAATTGTATCAATTATAAGTAATATTAATCATTGGATATAACCATCTAAATATTATAGTTAGTTCTGCAAGTTGAATAATCTATATAGTAACAAAGCTATTTCATAGAAAACACAATCGTACCTGCTTCACCAAGAACTGCAAAGAAAATAAGAAATAAAGTTTTAACATCTCGGTGGTTCT